TAGGCTTATATACCACTTCGCAGTGCTTTACAGCCCTCTCTAAGCGGTTTACAGAATCGGCAATCAACAATCTGGGTCCTCATTTTATCCACCTTGCAAGGATGGAAGGCTGAGTCAACACTGAGCCATCAGGATCAAGGGAATCTAATTCCTGGCAATGTGAGCAGAGTTAGCCTGCAGTACTGCATTCTAATCACTGTGCCACCATGGCTCTATGGACAACAATAATGTCTGGTACGAAAAATACCGGTTTCCCCCAAAAAATAAGACCGGGTCTTATTTTATTTTATTTGCCTCCAAAATAGGCATCAGGTCTTATTTTCAGGGGATGTCTTACTTACTGTACCTCTGACACTGACAGCCCCGACCAGCAGGTCCACTTCTTTTGTGGTTGAAGGAGCAGCTTCATTCTGCAGCTGCATTCTGGCCTGCATTTTGTAGTCTGCATTTTCTGGAAGGCCTATGCCAGGGATAGGCAACCTCGGCTCTTTTATGACTCATGGACTTCAACTCCCAGAATTCCTGAGTCAGCTATGCTGACTCAGGAATTCTGGGAGTTGAAGTCCATGAGTCATAAAAGAGCCGAGGTTGCCTACCCCTGGCCTATGCAGCCAAGAACCGAGCTATGGATTGAATCCATAGCTCGGTCCTCGACTGTAGAAATCTGGTAGAACCGAGCTATGAATTGAATCCATAGCTCAGTTCTTGGCTGCAGAGGATTTCCGGAAAGGCCTGTGACTGAGAAATGCAGGCCTGGCTGCAGAAGACGCCGCAGAAGAAGTGGGCCGGCGAGGAGAGGCCTGGCTGCATGGTAAGTGGGTGTGGGGCGTGTGGGGCAGCTCCACTCCCCCACCTCCGCCTTAGCTTGGTTTTTAAGTGTGCCTCACCCCAAAACTAGGGCTTATTTTTGCGGTAGGGCTTATATTAGGCCCACCCCTAAAAATCAAGGCAGGGTTTATTTTTGGAGTAGGCCTTATTTTCGGGGAAACACGGCAGTAATACACACACACACAAACACACCTTAATTCTACATACAGAAATTAGGTGGACTGGAAATTGTTTACAAACAGATAAATACGTTATTCTTCGTTGCACTTGAAAGCAGCAGTGTACATAAGTGGTGCAATCTAGAATAGGTAGTAGATACAAAAGTTCTGTCTTCCACCTTGACAGTATCCATGTTCCCAGGGTCTACTGACAAAGGGATCTCTTCACATTACTAATAGTAGAGCTAGTTTTACAGCGTCTGCAGATTCTTGTGATTAATATTACATTGAATTGATGGGAAGAACCTAACAAAATTTGTAATTTTTTTTAGGCTGCTTCTATTTTCTTCATGTTAGTTAAGATTATGTTGATTTCTTATTTATACCACCTCTCTTTATTTCAGAATTAATCTGAAATAGTTCTTTGAGCTACTTGATGAAAAAAATGATGTGATACGTAAATGTAAACTATTTATTTATTTGTTGTTTTAAGGGGAGCTTTTGGAAGCCATTAAATGTGATTTTGGCTCATTTGCAAATTTTAAGGAGAAACTCACAGCTATTTCAGTTGGTGTCCAAGGCTCAGGCTGGGGATGGCTCGGTTTTAATAAAGAATCTAATAGACTCCAGATTGCTGCCTGTTCCAATCAGGACCCTCTCCAGGGAACCACAGGTGAGATTCTCTAGGTGGAACTTGACTACATCTATTAAACTTTACATCTATTAAAGACCGTTTTTAGCTGCAGAAGGAATAAAGCAGTCATCACTTAGACTTATATACTGCTCTATGGTGCTTTACAGAGTCAGTATATTGCCCCCAACAGTCTGGATCCTCATTTTACTGATCTTGGAAGGATGGAAGGCTGAGTTAATCTTGAGCCCTTCAGGATCAAACTCGTGGCAGTGGGCAGAGTCACCCTGCAATATTGCATTCTAACCACTGCACCACCATGTCTCCAATATTGGTATTGACGATTCTGCTTTGTGCTTCACTAGTGAATGCTTTTGCTTTACTCATGAGAAGAACTTCTAGTTTCTGACAGTCTCACTTGCATAGCAGTTTGGATAAGAAAACAAAAGAGTAAACCAGACATAAGCAGTGTATGTAGATTACAGGCTAGATTCACCAAAGCATATTTTTAGCCTTTCAGAAAGTTTCAGCAATAGGGTGTTCAGACATTGGTATGAAATAATAGCTATTGGTGGAAAAACTTCCAAGCTGATCCTGTCTTTCCTCAAATTACCCCTGCAGGTAAGAAATATCCCAGTCTCTTTTCCAGCTTCTCATTTCCGTCTTGTGGCCAGCCACATAGAATTTGAACTGAGTTTTCCTTGAACTGAGTTTTGTTTTGAATAAGAATACATTGAGAGGTATTTTCTTACCTCTGTATACGTGAGAGAAGCATTTGCTTTCTCTTTCTGTCTTAAGACAAAATGCCATTTTTACAACTCTCTAGGATTAACTTTTCTTTCTACACTTATAATTTATAGCTGTATTTAGAGGAACTCTACTGTTTCCTAGAGGAAGAAGATGTAGTCGATCTTCGATTTACGACCACAATTGGGCCCAAAATCTCTGTTGCTAAATAAGACATTTGTTAAGTAAATTTGCTCCATTTTACAAACTTACTTCTTAAGTGAATGACTGTGATTGTTAAGTTAGTAACACAGTTATTAAGTGAATCTGGCTTCCCCATTGACTTTGCTTGTCAGAAAGATGATCACATGACCCTGGGACACCGCAGCTGTCATAAACATGAGTCAGTTGCCAAGTGTCTAAATTTTGATTACGTGACTGGGGATGCTGCAACGGTTGTAAGTGTGAAATATGGTCATAAGTCACTTTTTCAGTGCCATTGTAACTTTGAATGGTCACTAAATGAACTGTTGTAAGTTGAGGACTACCTGTTCTTCTTTTCAAGAGGCATGATGGTTGCGTAATGAGAGTAATTAAACCTTATTTAGAAATCAGTCTATTTTGAAACGAATGCTTTATGTTCCCTTGAAAGAAGCTAGTACTAACTGCGTGGTTGGGGTTATGTTTGTGGCAATAACTTGTTAAAGTTTGTAATATTTTAGCGATATTTTTCTTCTTTTCTAGGACTTATTCCACTGTTGGGAATTGATGTATGGGAACATGCATATTATCTTCAATATAAAAATGTTAGACCTGACTATCTCAAAGCTATCTGGAATGTGATCAACTGGGAAAATGTATCTTCAAGATATACAGCTTGCAAATAATAGAACAGAAAATCTTATAGAAACAAGACCTATGTGTTCCTCAGATTATTTTCATAATATTTAGCAGTTCAATTGCTAATTGCACATCACCAGAAAGTCTTCACTATCAAGCTAATTTGTACCTAATCGTGGTAAAACTAGGTTCTGAAAGTGCTACTTATCTAATTTTCTAAAAGAATGTAAATTTCTAAAACTTAAAAATGGATTACAAATGAAATTTGTAACGTGAATTTGCAATGCTTTTGAATATTTTCTTGCAAATTGAGGAAGAGTTCAGGAAATAAAATTTAGAGAACATTTAATAAACTAGATTTCTTGAAAAGTTATGTACGAAGAGCTTCGCAGTACTTGAGCAAGTTATACTGTTATACTCATGTTAACGATAAAAATTTGGCATGTTCATTATAGCAAAGATTCAAAATCTGTCAGTTGGTAAATATAGTAGATTAGTTCATGAAATTTATGCTTCTGAAAGGGGGAAAATCAGTGATGCAATATAATGTACCAAGTATATATGATAAATTGGTTGGATTAAAAGTGTACTTGCACTTTGTGTCTTCAAGTGAAATATATCCATTCATTGCTATGTCTACTATATATCTCACTATTATATATGACGTTCCAAAAATAAAAGCACAAAATGACTCTGTCATTAAATAAATATGTATAATGCTAATTAACCACTTTAAAATGAAAGAACCTTAGGATTAAAGGTGAAAACTACATGGGGATTGGTGTATTGAGTATGCCTAGGAAAAGGGTTGTTAAATTCAGAATGTCTCATCTCATATACTTTTAAGGAGCAAAATATGGAAAAAAGTGAAAATGAGAAAAATGTAGATTTATTTAGATACAAGGTAAACTGAATAGGTTTAAATTATAAAACATTGCATATAAATAAGATATTGAAAGTTGGTTGCAGAATACAATAGAATAAATAGAATGCCTGACAAAGGGTTCAGCTCTGAGCAGAGAACAAGCCAAGGATTTGTTTGCGTAAGGGATATTTTTGATGATATCAGATGTGTTTGGGGACATGAATATGTGTGTATTTTTGTATGCAGACCATACTGTGTTGTTGGCTAAGAACGTAAATTTGCAGCATATGTTAGGGTAGATAATGCAATTAGTATGGATGTGAAATATATGAGATCAAAATAACTACATTTGGAACCAACAGATACAAGTTATATATAAACCACAAAAAGTTAGAGCATGGAAATGATTCTGTATATCTTACAAGGACCTTAAAAACATTTCATCCATACCACTTAATGTTTCAGCATTAGGGAGGGTATTCAGTTGTCTAGAACAGGGCTTTTCAACCTTTTCACCCATTGTACCACTTTTAGGATATGGCAACATCCGAGTACCACCAGTCACCTAGCAAGGTGTCAAAAACCTGATGACCAAAAAAAAGAAAAAAGTGATAAAGTACAGGCAGTCCTCGACTTACCACAGTTCACTTAGTGACTGAAGTTATAACAGCATTGAAAAATGTGACTTATGTCCATTTTTCACACTTATGATCATTGCAGCATACCCAGGGTCATGTGATTTACATCCGGATGCTTGGCAACTGATTCATATTTCTGATGATCACAGTGTCCCAGGGTCATGTGATCCCCATTTGCAACCTTTTGACAAGCAAAGTCAATGGCTGGGGGGCGCTTGGGGGGAATCCAGGGGACTTCAGTGGAGGGGGTTGGGACTGGGGTGGGTACCAGGGTATGGTCCACCAGAGGAGCTTCACCGTCCCTCTTGGGCCACGAGGGGGACTCCTAGAGGGTGGTGTGGGCTGCCCAGAGCCCTGGGCAAGTGCCCAACCTGGCCCTCGAGCTCCCAGGGCATCAGGATCCTGCAGCTCAACTCAGTCCAGCCCCACTTTCCTGAGGGGGCGCTGGCTGCACTTACCTCCTCGAGTCTGCTGCTACTGCTATGATCACTCTCCTTGGCCAGGTGCAGGACAAAGTGTGGGTCAGAGGGAGGCCCACTCCCTCTCCCTGCAAGGAGACCCGGCTTTAACCAAAGCATCCTTTGCGATAGGATGGGAGACCATCAGGTTAGGCCAGAAGGAGGGAACAAGGGGATGGCGAAAGGGCAGCAGGCTGCTGGTGGCCAAGTGCTAAGGCAGGACTTCCCTCAAAGCCTCCCTTCCTCTCATAATCCCTTCCTTCCTTCCTTCCTTCCTTCCTTCCTTCCTTCCTTCCTTCCTTCCTTCCTTCCTTCCTCTCCTGCTTCTCTTCCTCTGCGCTCAGGGAGGGATGATGGGAGGGGGAGAGATTGCCAGCGCTGCCGGTGGCCATGCTGCCGCTGGCTATCTCTATCCCACGCAGGCAGGGGCGGTCTCGGTGAAAGGGTGGCTAGCGAGCAGGCGTGGCACTGATCTACTGGTGGGGGCCATCAAAGCCAGAATGCACTCAGCCTTAGATCCATGGGGCAGCCCTGGAGCCAGCAAGCCCCCCCTGCCATCTCTGCCACACCCCCTGGGGGTGCATAGAGAAGGCAGTGAACACTTGAGTGTTGGCATTTTGGGGGAATGGGAAGCGCTTCTCTTGCCTTTTTTCTTTCTCAGTGGTCAGCAGGGACGGTCAGCAGGGGTGCCAGGCGCTCGCCACCTCCTCTTCGAGCGCCCAGAGGGCGGGGGCAGCCCCTTGCTGGCCCTTTCCTGCCAAAACCTCCTTTTATATCCTCTCCTCTCTCCCCCCTCCTCCTCCTTTTCTCTTCAGGGTATTTCCAGCTTCCAAAGTGCCAATCAGCTGGAACCCGGTGCTGATCTTGGGGCTTCTGCCCAGCCCTGACAGCCCTGCAGCTCCAGCTGTCTTTCCCTCAGGCTTGTGCGGCACTGCCGCCGCTTCAGCTCGTTCCTCTCCCCCCCCCACTACCACTTCTCTAGGACAGTTGCCAGGTGCCAAAGTATCACCGGTGGTACGCGTACCACCGTTTGAAAAGCCCTGGTGTGGAAAGCACAAGAAGTGAATTTCGTGTGTTTTATAAGTGTCCCATAAGTCATTTCTGTAAAGCCATGAGGGTGAATGAGTATGAAATGTTAACGCAAGTGTTCATGCAACCTGATCATCAAATAGGGAGACCATGGCTATGTCTGTTGCTCCTGGATTGAGTATAGTAGACTTCCATCCTCTTGAGAATTTACAAATCTGTGCATGTAGATCACGTGACATTGGATGACATATCGCAACTTTTCCCCCACTGCCGGCAATGGGGTGGGCTCGGTTTTGGCATCATGACGCATCCAGCCCGCGGGCTGGCAGTTTGACATGCTTGATGTAGATTGTTGATTTTCCATTATGTAAAGGTAGCAGGAAGTCTTTAATAGTGCCACTAGATGGCGTTGCTGTACCATACTTAGAAATTCTGTTTGGCTAATACCAAACAGAAATTATTGGTATATTTAAATTATTGGTATATTTAACTACTAACAAATTTGCTATGAAATAAGCTTCTATGGGCTAGAAAATATTTCAACAGATGTAGAAAATGTTTGCATAAGCTGGAAGAAGAGTGAACTCAGTGAACTCAGCAAATCCTCTATGGGAATATGGCAGGAAACCTGTTAAAAGACTAAACTGTAGGAAATAGGTTTTATCAATTTTTTCTTTTAATGGCTTTTGATCCAACCTCCCCATTGCCACTAACTAATGTAGATAAGAAGAAATATCTGTTCCAGAATTGCGGCTGGCATATAGCAACCCTATTTTTAAAATCATACTAGGGAATGGAGGAGCTTGGATCCAGAATATACAAAGATTGGATATTGGAATTTCTGATTTTTCTAATATTTTACCAGAAATATTGATCAGGTATTGCGTCATGAATTTACCAATCAACCACCCTTTTCTTTGCAAAAGTTTTGGATATTTTGAAACAATTTCAAATCTTTCTCTCTTTTTTTGGATATGAATAAAATATTTAAATTGCTGGGAAGAATAAAAATGTTCTTTGTAGTCAAAAGTGAAGAAAGAAAAGTAGATTCAGAAAATGGAGAAAGTTTAGTTTTCTGAGTTCTCCGTTTTTCCTAACCCTAACCCTGCTTTACTGAGTTAAAACAAGACTTTAGGATGCCAGATAAGAACTCCAGACTCTGAATATGGGGTCAGTGGGCTTTTGCCATAAATCTGAGACTCAGTTTTGCTCCAATATTATCCTGCAGCTATCAACATAATGCCCCAAGGTTCACCAGAGCCATGTACTGTAATAATTTCTAACAGCCCAGGATAGTGATGGCGAACCTTTTAGAGACCGAGTGCCCAAAACCTGCCCCCTCCCCCGCTCCACTCCCCTGTCCCATCTCCGCTCTGCCCCCATCCCCCGCCCCGCCTGCCCACAGTACCACTCACCACCTCCAGGGCCCGGCGCAGATCGCCCAGGCAGCCCAGCAGCGCTATGGTGGCCACACTCTCTGCCCACGCCCTGCAGCATCAACTGCATGATGGGGTGTGAGGGCAGAGTCTTGTCTACGCTGCCTGGCTGCCATGTCCTTGGCTGCGCTGTTCCATGTGGGCCACGCTCAAGGGCGAATCTCCTTCAGGGGGGCTGCTGGACAGGAGGGGGTCACGGGGGAGGCAAGGCTGGAGCAACGGCACGTGTGCCCACAGAGAGGGCTCCGAGTGCCACCTCTGGCACCTGTGCCATAGGTTCGCCACCACTGGCCCAGGAGATGAGACTTCTATCAGCTTTTGCATGGAATTGGAGAAGCCTTGCGTCTCCAACGCTGGCACAAAATAGAACAAACACTATATTTGTTTTCCCAGACAGCAAAGTATAATTGTGAGAGCTGCTCGGAGTTTTAATTTAATATCTGGAGAGTCGTAGCTTACAGCATGAAATAATGATGTGTGTTTTCAAGTGGTATTTGCCTTGTCCATTCATGCATAAAGTGGTTTCATCCACTACAAGCATAATAGAATCATGTTTATTTAAAGTGTACTCTTTTAGCTGATGTTCTGAAAACAAATCTGATAAACAAAAATGTATGATCTCATGAGTTTAAACCAACTGAAATACTAATGTCCCATTGGACTTTTGTTCCAGAATCAACTACAAGATACTACACAAATTCTTACCTATGTTTAAATTGAATCAAATTGCAAATAAATTGACTTAAGAATAGAATAGAATAGAATAAGAATAGAATAATAACTTTATTGTCACTTTGAATGTACACTAATCGGCATACATTAAAATGAAATTTCATTGCATATAGCTCTCAAAGGGTCACCACCTCCAATATACACTACACACACACACACACACACACATATATGCCAAAAATAAATAAATGCAGAATTATGCACATACCCACATATATTATATATGACACAGTGAAACAACAACAACAACAACGCAACAAACTTCTGGTCCCTGGAAGTGAGCTCAGAGTCTGAGATATTTCAGAATTGCTCTTCAGAGGGTAGAAATTCAATTCAGCAAATTCCCTTTTAGGGTCACTGAAACTTTTGCTGTCAAAGATTTGGCAGAATTGGAGATAAGCAGAAGATATTTCATAAATGTATGGAGACACAGATTCCTTAGAGCAGGGCTTTTCAACCTTTTCACCCATTGTACCACTTTTAG